AAAACATATGTCTGCATCCATAGTTATAACTCAGTAATATCCACATTTGTGTGTGGGAAAAAATACTGAAATCTTAAATTGTGGATCAGATTGCAATTCTTCACTTGCTAAATACTTACTGAGCAACTAAGTACATCAAATAATTTCAGATGAGGCTGTTTGTTTTATCTCTGACTTCAAAAAGATCCATGAGCCAAACAAACTTGCCTTCTGGTGAGAAGAGTGTGCTTTGGCAATTCAAGCAAACTTTCATTTTAAATGGTCTTTCACCAAGGTCGAAAGTTTGCATAAAGAAATCAAAATTATCAGGAACATGAAAGCATAAAATGAAGCAAATATATTTTTCTAGTTTTTCTTTTCTATCCTATATGATAGCAAGTATATAATTTGAACTATAACACATGTATACTTGTATATTTTGTAAATTGAGTCATATTTTAAATAAATTAAGGCCTTTCACTACCTAAAGAATTACTCAGAAAATCCTTCTGAAATGTGAATAAGTGTTCCATATCTTGCCATTTTCTAAACTCCAGTCATTTGTATACCCCTTCATAATTTTTGTCATATTCATATGCCAATATTTATTTAATATTGTTTCTGTAATCCCTCTCCCTTTTTAAATTTAAATTTTGCTAGTGTACTATTAGTATCACTTGCTATATGGAAATAATTCAGAGATATAAATATGTAGCCATTAAAATAAAGGATTTGCTTATTATCACCTAATACTATACCAATGGTGATAGATATAGACTATGTAGGGAAACACTGTGCTACATGGATGTAAATTCAGATTTTTATAAATTTATTTTTTTTTAAAAAAAATAAGGATAATTTAGATAGATAGGAGACCTAGTGAGGGCAGAAATTACTTCTGGTTTGTGCATGTTGTTTCCCCACCACTAAGTACTTGGCCCATAATTGGCATGCAGTAAATAGTGAATAGTAAATTAACAAGTGATACATACATTTATGTATTCATCTTCTAAATACTATTTAGTAATGAATAATACTCAAACTGTATATGAAAGTACATATGGCCCATAAATGTTGTATCCTCAGTCTTCAAATTACTGAGTGATATAATGCAAAACATTTCTATTCGTCTTTAATGATCATATTTATAGATCAAGGGAGGTTGCTATCTAATCTGATAAAAGACAAACATGCAAATTGACCATACCTTCGCTATGCCTTAAGCCACGCCCACCAGCCAATCAGAGCAACTATATGCAAATTAACCCAACAAAGATGGCGGCCGGCAGCCACAGAGCTGAAGTGAGCAGGAGGCTTGGTTGCTCCAGTGATGGAGGAAGCCAAGCTTCCCAGCCGGCTCTGAGCTCCACTGAAGGCAACAAAGTTTCAATTATAGAAGGTAAATAAACCCCAGAATAAAAAAAAAAAGAAAAAAAGGAGAGGCTGGGAGCTTCCGTCACCGGAGGGCTTGGCCAGCCTGAAAACACCCCTCAGCCCCTCACCCAGACTGGCCAGGCACCCCAGTGGGGACCCCCCACCCTAAAGGGGGTGTGGCCAGCCTGAAAACAGCCATCAGACCCTCACGCAGGTTGGCCAGGCACCCCAGCAGAACCCCCACCCTGATCCGGGACACCCTTCAGGGCAAACCAGCCGGCCCCCACCCATGCACCAGGCCTCTATCCTATATAATAAAAGGGTAATATGCAAACTGACCCTAACAGCAGAACGACTGGGAATGACTGGTCACTATGACACACACTGACCACCAGGGGGCAGATGCTCAATGCAGGAGCTGCCCCCTGGTGGTCAGTGCGCTCCCACAGGGGGAGCTCTGCTCAGCCACAAGCCAGGCTGATGGCTGCCAGCACAGCGGTGGTGGTGGGAGCCTCTCCTGCCTCCTCAGCAGCACTAAGGATGTCCTACTGCAGCTTAGGCCTGCTCCCCACTGGCAAGTGGACATCCCCCGAGGGCTGCCGGGCTGCCAGGGGGATGTCTGTCTGCCTGCTTGGGCCCGATCCCCCAGGGAGCAGGCCTAAGCCAGCAGGTGGACATCCTCCAAGGGGTCCCAGACTGCAAGAGGGCATAGGCTGGGCTGAGGGACCCCCCCCCCAGTGCACAAATTTTTGTGCAATGGGCCTCTAGTCCTATATAATAAAAGCATAATATGCTCAGTGTCCGACCCATCGGTTGACTGTTTGGTCTACCGCTCAACCGCTTGACCGCTCAACCAGTCGCTATGATGCACACTGACCACCATGGGGCAGATGCTCTGACCAGTAGGTTAGCTTGCTGCTGGGGTCCAGCCAATCGGGACTGAGTGAGAAGGTTGGACATGCCCTGGAATCCTCCCATGGACCCTCCCTGGCTGGCTGGCGCCCATCAGCCCTAATTGGGATTGGGCAAGACGGCCCCAATGAGCCCGATCACCCGGCCAGGCCAAGGGAGCCCACCCATGCATGAATTTGTGCACCGGGCATCTAGTATTGTAAATAAAAAGAAGTTGAAGAAGTTGGAGAAGAGGCAGTATAGGAGTAGGAATTGTGTTTGAGAAGTGTTATGAGAGAAAATAAATTGAATATATATATGTGTGTGTGTGTGTGTGTGTGTGTGTGTTTGTGTGTGTGTGTGTGTGTGTGATGGGATCTGAGGTAACTCTGCAACTGTGTTCAGGCAAGAAAATGGGGCTAAATTAAAGGACTAAATATAGATGCAAGAGTTGCTTCAGTGGAGAAGGCTCTGTTCCATTAACAGCTACTTCCAAATCACCAACACTAATGACCAAATTGTTCTAAAATGAGATATTCTAAACATACCCCTTCTGGCCTTCTTCCAAGAAACTCACTTCTAAAGCTTAAATCCCAACCTATTTTCTTTTGTCCATGCATTTAAGAAATGACATAATCAATTTTCTGCATCATTTGCGTTAGAAGAAAAGACCATGTAAAGCTGAATGAGCAAAGGATGTTGATCCCATTTATAATCAGAGGTTCATCAGTTAGGGAGGCCTTTGAGATACAAATAGGCTGTTTCATAAAACCTATGAGGCCTTAGTAAGTGGAAGCAATCCACATGTGTCAGGAAGTCAATGGTTAGCTAATTTGCTCACTAGGAATTACTTGGATGGTGGGAACAACTGACTTGAGGAACTGACTATTCAGAAGAGGAACCACAGAGACAAAACATCCATAGTTCAGAAATAATGTTAAACTTTTGCAATAATATAAGATATCTATTTTTTGGCCTATTACCTAATCTAAGAGAATAGTTTGTGCCTTGTTTAGTGTGGGGACTCTGGGCTTATCCGAACTAAATGAATGTTGGCTTATTTCTCTTTTAAAAAAACACACAACTTTATTCATTTATTTTTAAAAAATTGTCTCTTTTGCCCTAACCGGTTTGGCTCAGTGGATAGAGCATCGGCCTGTGGACTGAAGGGTCCCTGGTTAGATTCCGGTCAAGGGCATGTACCTTGGTTGCAGGCACATCCTCAATAGGGGGTGTGCAGGAGGCAGCTGGTAGATGTTTCTCTCTCATCGATGTTTCTAACTCTCTATCCCTCTCCCTTCCTCTCTGTAAAAAATCAATAAAATATATATTTTTAAATTATCTCTTTCAAAATTGAACATAGGAAAAGAAAATGAAAGGAACATATACTTCCAAGAATTTGGAATTAGATGAGACTGGACTAGGAAGGAAATAGATTGTGCTGAGCTGGAGTGGACCGTTTAGGGTGCAGGACTCTAAATAGCAGCTGGATTTCCCTTCAACACGAGGGACATCGTTGTGGTGGTCACTGCATCAGGAGCTGTGACGCAGGTGTGGGAAGCGTAGAAGAAAATGCTATTCTACCTTGGCAGTCAGAGTCTTCAGTCACAACACAAGGCTAGAAGATGGGAGAGGAGTGCATGTGAATATTTTCACAGCTACTAGTACAGTGGTGCAGTGCCATCAGATCACTTAGGGTCCGAGTCAACCCCAAAGCACCCAGAACCCAGAGGTATTTGAGAGGAAAGGGACATTCTGTAAGTCAACTCTAGGAATTTTCCCTCTATGATCAAAGAAAGAGACTTGGATGGGGTTGGATGTTCCCATTATTTAGCAAATAGAACCAGGAGAATAAAGGGCTCCTAATATTTGGAAATAATAATAAACCACTGGAGGAAATATATGAGACTCAAAATATATACCTTTCTTTGTGTAGGGAATTTTGCCAATTTTAGTCTGTGTCTACTTGCAGGCAGCCATGAACATATAGGTGATCTTCATTAAATCACATATAATTGTTTTACCTCATTTTGTTTCATTTGTCTGATATGCTATCTACATGGCAAGATATTTTTTGAGGGTTGAATAAGCTAATATATGGGAAACCCGTTAAATAGTGACAGAAATTTGAAGGATATTGATGCATGAATGCTATAGCCATATGTTGATGATAAGGATGTAATAGGGTATGCTGATAGTAATAAAAGACCCTAAAATCTCAGTGGCGTAGTGCAAACAGGTGGATTTCTTGCTTATACTGCATGTCCATTTCAAGTAGAGAAGGAAGGTGCCCCACATCATCCTCACTAGGGAACTGTGGCTGATCAGAACATTGCTGGTCATTGTGATGGGGAAAATATACAGGTGAATCACACACTGCATCTCCAAGGCTCTGCGTAGCAGGGACACATGTCACTCCCTAATTAGTTTTAGGAAGTCCCGTGGCAATCCTAACTTGTGTCCAGAAGAGCTGGAAATACTTTGTGAGCAGCACTAATGACCATCACAGACAATTTCTTTCCATTTTCTACAGCAGGATGACTTTTGCAACAGAGAAGCTGTCTAGATGTTTTTCCTCTACTGATACCACTACATTTTTTCTGTACAGCTTCCAATAACCAAGTGGACTTTCACAATCTTAGGTGTCCTCGGTTTTTAGGATTTGCTGGTGCTAAAATGTTAATAGAATATCTTTGATTCTTTGAGATAAAAGCAGCAAGTGTATAACAGCCCATTTTTGTTTTCTTTCCACACAGACATTGATGAGTGCTCGGATGGCTTTGTTCAGTGTGACAGCCGGGCCAATTGCATTAACCTGCCTGGTTGGTACCACTGTGAGTGCAGAGACGGCTACCATGACAATGGAATGTTTTCCCCCAGTGGAGAGTCATGTGAAGGTCAGTACAGGAGAAGACCTAGAGTTTGAAACTCCTCTTGAACCTGAGGAATATGCAGTAAGGGTAGATAGTTGCTATTGACCTAATGTTTAAGTTGGTGATTTTCATTGTGTGCTTATACGGCAGTGATTGGAAACATGTTAAAATCTAACTTTTGCTTGCTAACTATGATAATCAGTTTTTAGATTATTAAAATTTGTGACACTAAACCAATTCTCTATGGATATTTGCAACCATTGAGTGTGTTTTAGAATGAATGAGCCCATAATATCAGATACATTTTGGAATTGCCCCCCAAAATATGACCCCCAAGAAAAGCTTGAAAAAATAGATGGGGAAAGCAGCATAGAGAGAAAAAGGGGGTAATAGGGATATGATAGTGATATAGTCAAATATAATATACATAGTACACGATAACATATCACTTGTCTGGCAAAGTAAGAGATGCTTAGTGAATGCTTCATGTTGAATACAGAAGATATGATTCCTGCTTGAAAGAGGGTTTTAGTCTAATAGGAGTAGAAAACTCAACCAGATTATACTCAATTAGAGGCCCAGTGCACAGATTTGTGTACTGATGGGTTCCCTTGGCCTGGCCTGTGGGGATCAGGCTGAAACTGGCAGGCCGACATCACCTGAGGGGTCTTGGATTGCTAGAGGGCACAGACCAGGCCGAGGGACCCCACTGGTGCACAAATCTGTGCAACAGGCCTGTAGTATGTATATAAGATCTTTGGTTAATCTCTTCTCCCTCTCCCCCTTTCCCTCTTCCCTCTCAGATTCATCAGTTTGTTCCATGTTTCCATGCCTGTGCATTGAGCTTCTGCCCCCTGGTGGTCAGTGCGTGTCATAGCTACCAGTTGAACGGTCAAATGGTCGCTTAGGCATTTATATATATAGACTAGGGGCCCAGTGCATGAATTCATGCACCTTGAAAGGAACTGTGGGCCACAAGGCTGTAGTGGGCACAGGGTCGGGTCTCGGCCCTTCCTCCATGCCCCTGCCTGGCCCTTCCTGCCGCAGCCCCCAGTCCCCTGTCTGCCAGCAGCCCCACTCCCACTACTGCTGCTCCCATGCACTGAGGGTGCTGGTCCTGCTCGCACCCGCTGACAGTGCAGAGCAAAAAGGGCTGGTGCCAGAAGCGGGTGCAAGCAGGGCTGGTGCCATCAGCAAGTGTGAGTGGTGGCTGCTGCCCCAATCGCCCCTCAGGAGCAGGGGGAGGTGGAGAAGCCTGCAGGGGCGATCGGGACTGGTGCTGGACACCGGCAGCAGGTGGTGCATGGGAGCAAAGAATTTTCAGTAACCACCAGAGGCTTGCCCCAATGACAGCAACCAGTGCCCGCCTTGATCTGGTGCCCCCACTTACCTGCTCCACCATCCCATCATGGCCGATGCCCACCATGTTCCATGCTCTGCCACCTCCTGCCGACGCCAAAATGTTCCACATGCACCCCTGGTGGTCAGTGCATGTCACAGCGACTGGTGGTTCGGTTGTTCTGCTGTTCGGTCTATTTGCAAATTAGGGTTTTATATATATAGACAACTTACCATTAATTTTGAATCCATTACAGCAAATTGACAAACAACTCTGCTTGTCTGTACCCTCTGTCAAGGGGCAGTTTTTAAACAGCAGGCAGAGCCCAGTGAATAATTGCCAGGGAAACCACCCACACTGGAAGGATTTGCCATCAAATGTAGGCACAGGAATAAAGAATAAAAAAGATCTCAAAAAGTCATTTTCTTCATTTATATTTACACTTTCATGGAGTAACAGCCTGAGAGAATAATGTGGCTAAAATGACAAAGTCAATGAAAGCCTTGGAGAAGCTAACTTAACAGTAGTTGACACCTAAATGATACGATGTCTTTTATCCTTGTGCCTCTAAAGGTTTTCACACAGAGAAAAGTGAAACAGACTTGGGTGATAGATGCCAAAGCTCCCAGCATGCTTTGCCAGCAGCCGCAGAGCTCTGGACCTTGAGCAGAGGAGCCATCTGGATTTTTACGTAGGAATGGGAATACTAACACTTTACCAAGGGCTAAAGCCTGGCATCTGCATATAACCGTTTAACTTTGGTCTCAGGGCTTTCCCTTGCCCTTGTTAATGTTCCAGAGTAAGTACTTCCAGCCCCATAGAGAATTCCAAGGACTAGAGCAGATCAAACTGTGATTTGGCTCTTCCCCGATAAACTATTTTGCCTGTATTCTGTAGTATATTACGAGAAAGAAGCCTTCCTCTTCTCTTTTATTTTCGATTATACACAAAAAGGATGAATATAAGCTGATTATAAATAAATCATACAGAAACATATACATGAAAGCTGAAAATGCATCTTTAGTTCACCCCCCTTCCCCCATCCCTTCCACTTCTTCTCTAGGGGTAATCTGTGTGTCATTCTGCTTGGTATCCTTGCACATCCTTTCACATATGAATAGAAAACCACATACCTCTGCTGACTATCTTACTTTACTTTACACTTGTAACTGCACTCACTATTTTTTAAAATGTATGACCACAAATCTCAAGTGGGCTATATTTGTTGTCTATTGATGTATAACAAATTACCCCCCAAACTTAGCAGCTGAAAACAACAAAAATTATCTCACAGCAGCTTAGATGTAAGCCTCTGGTTTGGGGCTTCTCACGAGGTTACAGTTAAGTGGTTGGCCAGTCCGTGATCTCATCTTGAAGACCTGTCTGGGGGGTATTGGAGGTAATGGGAATCTCTTTCTGAGGTCACTCATGTGGCTATTGGCATGCCTTGTTTCCTTAGCACATGAGCCTCTCCATGGGGCTGCCTCAAGACACGGTAGCTGGCTTCCTTCCCCTGGAGTAAACAATTCAGGAGAGAGCAAGTGCCCAAGATGGAAGCCACAGCTTTTTTATAACTTAACCTCAGATGTGACATTCCATCGCTGTTCCTATATTTTGTTTGTTAGAAATGACTCAATAAGTCTAGCCACATTCTGGGGGAGGGGATTATATAAGAGCCTAAATATTAAATGCTGAGGATCATTGGGAGCCATCTTATAGGGCCGTCAGCATTGTCCAGCATTCCTGTATTATTTCCTTAGTAACTTTCCCCTGCAACTGTCTGATACAACCATTGCATACCTTTTCCAGTCTCCTCAAACCTTATATAGCACTTCCTTTCTCTTCATTTTTCTGTTGATGGTTGTTCTTCTTATTTAACTGAGAAAACAGAAATACCTCACTTCTGCCCAGGAGCTATACTGGATAACTCTCGCTTACGTCTTTATCTGCTGCTTTCCCTCCCTCCTGTTTCACTGAATGAAGTTTGATTTTTCCTATCAAAAATTAAACCCCCCATTGTAACTTGCATCTCATTCCCTCTCACCTACATGAGGTCTCTGGCCTTGTACTATCCACTTTCTCTTCGACGTCATAAATACTCCTTTCCTCCTGCATCATTCTCATTAGCATGCAAACAGCCTGGAGTAGCACCCACATTAAAAAATAAAACAAAAACAAAGACATTGTAACTTTCCTTGACAGCACCCGATTCCCTATTTTTCTGTTCCCTTTTAGAGTAAAACTCTTTAAAAGAATTTTCTAGCCGTGTTAGCTGTGCTTTCCTGCTTCCAGTGAAGCGGAGTGCCACTGCTGCAGTGAATGCTCTCCTTCCGGGATTAATAACCATTTCCATTTGCCAATCCCCCTGGTCTGTTACTCTCTTTGCTTGATGACTCAGCCATTTGGCCCAGTTGATCATTTCTTCCTCTTGAAACGATTTTCTTCACTTGGCTTTGAGGACAGCACTCTCTCCTGGCTTTCTCACCGACCCTACCAGCTTCTCCTTTCACGCACCACAGAGTAAAATCCAAATCCTAACAATGATTTACAAAGGCCTATATGATATGGATGCGTGGCTTCCTTGACTCTTCTCAAATACACCAAACTGATTCCCTTCTCATGTGCTGTTCTTTTTGCCTGGAATGTTCTTCCCCCACATCTTTGCCTGCTTTAAAAAAAAAAGTTTAATGTAGATTTTCTCTAAAATAGCTTCTCCTGGACTCCCAATTTAAAATAGCATCTTACCCCTGACACTATTCACTTACCGTTTCACTTTTCTTCACAGAGGTTATAAATTTCCCTGAAATGTTTGTATATATTAATTTGTTTCCTTCCTTATTGTCTGCTATAGAGCATAAGCTTCAAGAGGCAATAGACTTGCCTTGGCCAGTATGGCTCACTTAGTTGGAACATCATCCTATACACCAGTGATGGCGAACCGGTGACACGCGAACTCATTTTTTTTGGTTGATTTTTCTTTGTTAAATGGCATTTAAATATATAAAATAAATATCAAAAATATAAGTCTTTGTTTTACTATGGTTGCAAATATCAAAACATTTCTATATGTGACACAGCACCAGAGTTAAGTTAGGGGTTTTCAAAATGCTGACACGCCGAGCTCAAAAGTTTCGCCATCACTGCTATACACTGAAGGTGGTGGTTTGGTTTCCAGTCAGAGCACATACCCTGGCTACTGGTTCAATCCCCAGTCAGGGCATGTACAGGAGGCAACTGATCCATGTTTCTCACATCGATGTTTCTCTCTCTTTCTCTCTCTCTCTCTCACTCCCCCCCCTTCCTCTCTTTAAAAGTCAATAAAAAAGCATATCTTCAGGTGAGGGAAATTTTTAAAAAAGAGTCAAAGAATTTATTTGCTTATCAGTCATCAGTGTCTATAGCAGTAGAACCTAGTAGATGATATCTTTATTTTTCTAATGACAAAGATATGAGATGTATGATAGATGATATTTTAATCAGAAGTGTGTTAGGAACATAACCTATGTTAAAAGTAGATATATAGTATGACTGAGAGTAGCTAAGTTAGAAGTAAATATATATTTACGTATATATAGTAATGATCAGGACAAAACATAATTAGTGCATTCATGAGTATTCAGAAAATAACAAGAAGAATTAAACTAGCCATTAAAGTAACACATAATAAAATATTCTATGGGATGCT